AGCATTGTAGATGTTGCCTACAACAATCTTTCCGGTAATATGCCCAGTTCATTGGGGGAGTTAAGTAATCTTCAAGTATTAATGTTGAACAACAACAATTTTGGCGGTAAGATTCCCAATTCACTTCAAAATTGCCCTATTTTGAAGAGTATCGATCTTGGAGGCAACAAGTTATCTGGGAACATACCTTCTTGGATAGGAGGATCAAATGGATCCATGTTGTACATGCTACAATTGCGAAACAACTTTTTCAGTGGACATATTCCTCGACAATTATGCAATCTTGGCTACCTTCGCATCCTCGACCTTAGCCACAACAACTTTTCAGGAACTATTCCCAATTGCTTGAATAATTTGACTTCTCTTCTGCTTAATGTTTCCGTTACTCCCCCTCGTTTCTATACTCAACAAGCCACGTTGACATTAAAAGGACAACAACTTGTATATAACACGACTCTACTGCTGGTAAAGAGCATTGATCTTTCATCAAATAATTTACAAGGTGAAATTCCTCAAGAGATAAGTAGCCTCATTCTATTGGGTACTCTGAACTTGTCGATGAATCAATTCACTGGTAAGATCCCCACCAAGATTGGAAATATGTATTGGCTTGAAACTCTTGATTTCTCACACAACCATCTTTCAGGACAGATTCCTCAAACCCTTTCATCTTTAACATTTTTATCCCACTTGAATTTGTCTTATAACAACTTGGTGGGACGAATTCCTTGGGGCAACCAACTTCAAACGCTCACAGATTCATCCATTTATGTCGGCAATCCGTCACTCTGTGGGTTTCCTCTTTCAACTAAGTGCCCTGGAGATGAAACTTTTACTACTACAGATGCAAAACACGTCAATGATGATGGAAATGATGAGTTGTGGTTCTATGTGAGCATGGTACTTGGCTTTGTCGTAGGCTTTTGGAGTGTTTGTGGCACATTAATTGTGAAGAAATCATGGAGGTATGCTTATTTTCGATTATTTGATGACATCAAAAATAAGGTAACAGTAGCAATTGTGGCTCTTTAATCAAGAAGAAATCAAAACTTTACTTTACCGTTGTCTATGTAGTGTTGTCTAATGTAAATTTTGGCATAGTAAAGGTGGCTCATTTGCAAAGGAAATTTCATGATGTGTATATTGTAATGGTATATGATGCCTGTTTTTTTTCTTTTTTGGTTATATGGCACAATATTAAATAAGTTTTGATTCAAAAAAAAATTAAATAAATGTATAGGTGGACTTCCATCTTTTCTTAATTGCTCCTACTAGACATTAGTGATTTTATTTATCGATTATTATATACTAGTAAAAGGGAATATTTTTTTTAATCAATAGTAAAAGCCAGCGGGATCTAGCGCATTGAAAAATGGCTTTGCCTTGCAGACTAACCGCCATGACATCTTAGTTGTGTGCTTGTGTGAGAGAAATTCCCCTCTCCTATCATTTAGACTATCGTTTGTACTAAAAAAGACTAGACGGTGATAAGAAGGCTGCAATTGTCTCCTTAACATTCTTCTACTAAACATTCTTAATATTCTTCTCCTAAAAGGTTTTTTCAACCCCGAAAAAAAGAGTTATTCAAGAAAAACTAGACATAAGACTATCTCCAGCAGAGTTGCTATACTATGATGTTTAGCTATTTTGCCTAGAATGAGGGCTATACCCTGAACCAGGGGCTCACCCCTCTTAGGGCCTGGTTCCCAACCTATTTTATAAGCCTAGTGCAAACCTACTAAGAATATATAGAAAATCAGACGATACAAGTAAATTTCATTGTTAACTAAAAAATAACACCTAGTTAAGGGGCACATAAAAAGTCTTACCCTTTAAATGCATCTAGTACATGTCAGAAACTAATTAATTAATCAAATGATTCATTATTCATACAAGAAAAGAACACCAAAATCATTATCACAAAAACAATAACATGTTAAAGATTAGCTTATTTTCTTCCCTTTCTCAATATTGAACAAGTGGCTGCCTTATATTTAAAGTCTAATTAGGATTTTTTCGAGCTTGGTTATGATTGAATAATTGTGGTTTAATCTTTGAATTGTAGGTAGGACAACGCTTATTGCAGCAATTGCTAAAACATTTAATTAATCTTTTTTTTTTCTTTTTTCTTTTTAGAGGAATGGAAGGGCAACACTTCAACCCTCATGATGGGTCGAGGCTTTGAGAACTCCCAGATTCAATGCAAGGCATAGAGAACTCCTGGAGGCTTAGAGAACTCCTGGATTAATTCTCAATGGCTTGCATTGAATGAATGTAGATGTACAGACATGAAGTTGAAAACTTTTCATGTACACAGGTTCACTGTTCCATGTCATGTTTCATGAAAGCATTTTATAACCTTAAGACAATCATGCATTTGGGGAACTAATAATCATTCTTTTTGTACAATGAATTGAAATACAACAAAATTATAACCAATGAACCAAAAGGAATAATTATTCATAACACTTAAACAGTAACCATATAATTAAATACATAGAATAGAAGCATGGCTAGCATATGCCCAACTAACCACTTTCTCCGAAATGGAATTACAATTTGAGCAGCCAAAAAGTAGACTACGTACAGTCTAGTCAAGAAACTGCATTATCGGCCAAGCTAGGTCTCTCACGTTCTTTGTAATTAAATTCCAATTTGGACTCTTGTTTTGACACAATAATAGTTGTCTTTGCAAAATCTCTTGTACCTAATCAGATACCTAAAATTAATCAAATACAACCACTTGCACTTGCAGCAGACAAATCCCCCAGGCAAAGCAATTGTTTTGACGACAGTCTTTCTTGGAGTCCAGTAGGAGCACGTCCTGTTTCCTATCTGGCTACCATTTGAATTAGTCCTGGCTTCCTTTGGGCTCTACAATCCAAATGCATTAGACAAATATAAGTCATTCAGCAAAGACCAGACTAATTTCATCACTATGATTTGTAAAAAGCAGCGAAATTGATGACAAACCAGCCGTTTGAATGATCTACTTTGACCAGCATCCTTCGCATTCTCCATACCGGGCTTAGAACAATCAAGACCTGAGAAAAACCAAGTAAAACTAAAATATATGGATTTTATACATTTGGAAATGAAAAAGGGATATTCACTATTATACCCAATTTAGGGGTCCAAATTATAAAAATATCATACATTAAATGAACTTTAGAAATTCACCCAAAGTCCATTTATAACATAACAAAGAGGCTTCGAACTTCCTATAAATTACAAAACTGCCATTGATTTCTTAAAACAAGCCCAACTCCAAAACCTCATAAAAAAAAAAAACCGAAAACACACAATAGGGCATCAAAGTAATTTAATAATCAAAATTAATTTCAATAGGGCTAGCTGTCATTTTTTGGATTGTTTATAGAAATTAAATAGAGTAGGGTTTATCTATGTCACTAGTTCTAAGAATGGGTATATAAATGAAAAACAGCAGAGAGGATGACCCTGGATAATAAGCACTTTCTCATAAATTGAATTACAGTTTAGTCAAGCAAATGCATTTAACTCCACCTACCTTATTGCAATTGCTTGGAAACAAAAAACCATTTGTGGTGTGAAAGTAGCAAATAAAAACAGAGTAATGTTTCCCCTAGAAAAACAGAGTAATGCTTTAGACATAAGCATTAATGAGAATGATAGCGATGAGGAGTCAAGAATTGCAAACTTGAAAAATGGGTTGAGGACCTGGACTCGACCGTTTATTCTGGGTATGATTTTTCCGCACGCTGGCAGCTTTGTATAAATGTAAGAGTTGTCTTAGTCTGCTCATCTGCATCAAATTGAGAAAACTTGATTCGAAAAATGAAAATCTATCACCTGATCAATATTTCTGACCTTTTGCTCCTTTTGTTGTGCTTGTTGGGGGATATTGGACTTGCAAGCACCGGTGTGAAAGTGAAACCAATATGCATTGAGGATGAGAGGAAAGCACTTATGGGCTTTAAAGAAGATCTTACTGATCCATCTTGAAGGCTTTCTTCTTGGGTAGGTCATGATTGTTGCCAGTGGGAAGGGATTTCATGCAACAACCGCACCGGTCATGTTGCCAAGATCGATCTCTAGAATACATATCCACATTCCACAGCTGATGAAGAGTGGGACGACATGAAGTATGAACAGTCTTGTTTGGGGGTTAAGATAAACTCTTCTTTGCTTAGCTTGAAACATTTGTATTACCTGGACTTAAGTTGGAATAATTTTGAAAGGATTCACATTCCTAAGTTCTTTGGGGAGCTTAAAACTCTGAGGTATCTCAATATCTCCTTTGCATTGTTTGCAGGAGAGATTCCCCCTTCTCTTGGTAATTTGTCAAACTTGAACTATCTTGACGTATCTTATTCTCTTTACTCCTCATTCGAAATACATTCCAAAAATTTGAATTGGCTTTCTCTTCTCTCTTCCCTAAAATACCTCAATCTCAATGGAGTGGATCTTAGCAACGCAAGATTTAAAAATTGATTGCATGTTGTTAACATGCTTCCTTCCTTACTGGAGTTACACTTATCTCATAGCTTGATTGAAAGCCTTCCACTATCATTGCATAGGGTTAACTTCACCTCACTTTTGGTCCTTGATGTATAATATAATTCCCTCAATACTTCTTCATTTCCCAGCTGGCTTTTCAATCTTACTAGCCTTAGAAAACTTGATCTAAGCTGGAATTCTTTCACTAGTCCTTTTCCAGGTGAATTTGCAAGCCTCAAATCTCTGGATTACCTAGATTTGTCTGGTTGTGGCCTGGAAGGCCAATTGCCGGCCTCCTTAGGAATGTTAAAAAGTTTGCAGTATTTGCACCTATCTAATAATCGTATGAAAGGGTCCATTCCAGAAAGTCTAGGACAACTCTCTGAGCTAGTTGAACTACATTTGTCTTCCAATCCTTGGGAAGGATTTATAATGGAAGCCCATTTCACAAGTCTCACCAGATTGAAACATCTTTCGATAAGGAACAATGGAATAAAGAAGCTCATGTCCCTCGTTTTCAATGTGGCTTATGATTGGGTTCCTCCTTTCAAGCTCCACAAAATTGAGATTACCAACTACAAAGTAGGTTCTGGTTTTGGTGTATGGCTTCAATCTCAGACTGAATTGTCTTATGTCACCCTTAGTAGCACTGGAATCTTCTATAGCAGAGGAATGGCTTTTGAAGATATCTTCCTAACTCACACACCTGGATTTATCTCACAACCAATTCCATGGAATGCTTCCATCGATCCAATTGAGATTTCTGAACCCATTTCAAATAAGTTTGGCTCATAATTAATTTGAGGGCCCACTCCCACTTTGGTCCACTAATGCCACTTACTTTGATCTCTCAAGCAATTTATTTTCCGAACCAATTCCCTCGAATTTTGACAAGCTGATGCCCAAATTGGTAGAATTGTTTCTTTCAAAGAATGATTTGAATGGTACTCTTCCACATTCTATTTGCAACATGCAAAACCTGACAGCCCTTTCGCTAAGGAGTAATCATTTCTCTGGAGAACTCCCACACGCATGGAGTTCAGGGAGCCTGAAAAGCATTGTAGATGCTGCCTACAACAATCTCTGTGGTAATATACCCACTTCAATGGGGGTATTAAGTTATCTTCAAATATTAAAGCTGAAGAGCAACAATTTTGAGGTAAGATTCCCGATTCTTTGCAAAATTGCTCTATTTTGTTGAGTATCGACGTTGGAGGCAACAAATTATCCAGGAGGTTACCTCCATGGATAGGAGGATATGGTGGATCCATGTTGTACATGCTACAATTGCGAAACAACTATTTTACTGGACATATTCCCCGACAATTGTGCAATCTCGGCTACCTTCACATTCTAGACATTAGCCACAACAACTTTTCAGGTATTATTCCCAACTGTTTCAATAATTTGACTTCTCTCTTCCGTGATGTTGCGGATAAATACCTCAACTACTATCATCCGCAAACCATGCTGACATTAAAAGCAGAAGAACTTGTGTCTAACACCACTCTAATGCTCATAAAGAGCATTGATCTTTCTTCAAATATTTTGGAAGGTGAAATCCCTCAAGAGATAGGTAGCCTCATTCATTTGGGTACCTTGAACTTGTCGAGGAATCAATTGACAGGTAAGATCCCTTCTAAGGTTGGAAATTTGCGTGGACTCGAATCTCTTGATCTTTCACACAACCATCTTTCGGGACATATTCCTCAAAGTTTGCATCCTTAACATTTTTGTCCCATTTGAATTTGTCTTATAACAACTTGGTGGGGATAATTCCTTTGGGTAACCAACTTCAAACACTCACTGATTCATCCATTTATATAGACAATCCATCATTGTGTGGGCAAAACACAGTAATGAAGATGGAAATGATAAGTTGTGGTTCTATGTGAGCGTAGTGCTTGGCTTTGTCGTAGGTTAGGTGTTTGCGGCACATTAGTCGTGAAGAAATCATGGAGGTATGAATATTTTCAATTCGTTGATGACATCGAAGATAAGGTAACACTAGCAATAGCATTGAAAGTGGCTCATTTGCAAAGGAAGTTTTGTCATGTGTAATATAGTATATGACGTGTTTCCTTCTTCTTTTTTTCTTTTTTTCTTTTTTGCTTTGTGATACTTGCATGCTATAAAATTAGTGTTTCCATATATCAATTATATTAACGGTATGAATAAAAGCCAACATTAATATGCATACTAGGAGGAATGCTAAGAGAAATATGATCCCGCGTTGACAAGGAGACTATTAATTATTTATCACACAATCATGTGACGTGTAAATGTACTTGGATATGCTAAAATAAACTTATCATGACTCTGACTTATGTTTTTCAAAGAGAAATGAGGATTACAAGACAACTATTTTAGAGTACTAACATTCTCCCTAAATATATATTGGAACTTTGTTCTTCATCTTTGTTATTATTTGAAATATATATCATTTGGCTTTGAGTAAAACAGCAATCTGACAAGTATAGGTGTTTGGTATTGTTTTCTCTAGTTTTAATCTTTGTATGGAGATGCATTCTGAGGTGGAGAACTCGTCTCGTCCCCTTGACTGTGTTGTGTGAAAATTAAAAATAAAAACTAAACGTACCATTGAGTGCTGTTTTTTTTAATGGATTGTGTCAACACAAATATGAATTCAAAGATGAACAAAAACGATTTGGTGGTAAAATTCCTTTCTCCTTGCAAAATTTCTCCTCATTGTGAATGATTAATCTTGGTGACGACATTTATGGGAAAGATACCTTCAAACATATATGGGTTTTCTCTGCTTCGACTAGGAGACACATATATCCCCACCAATTGTGAAATCTTTGTCCCACTTGAATTTGTCTTATAACAAACTTGGTGGGGAGAATTCCTTTGGGCAATCAACTCCAAACCCTCATTGATTCATCCATTTATATGGAGAATCCATCTGTGTGTGGAGTTCCTCTTCCAACAAAATGCCGCCCCGGAGATAGCTACACATGCAAAACCCAATGATGAAGATGGAAATAATAAGTTGTGGTTCGATGTCAATATGGTATTTGGCTTTGTCATGGACTTTTGGGGCGTTTGTGGCACATTAATGGTAAAGAAATCATGGAGGTATGCCTATTTTCGATCATTTGACAACATCAAGGATAAGATGACGCCAGCAATTGCGTCAAAGGAAATTTCGTGATGTTTAGTAGTGCACAATAATTTAAAGAGAAATTAAAGAAAGTGATGCTTTCTATACACGCGTGTTTTGTCATTGAAGATATCAAAACTCAATTGTTTTTGTTATTGAAGATATCACTCTTCTATGTAGTGATGCCGTTCATACATGGCCAGCAATTTCATCTGGGCGCCAGTTCTCAGCTACCACCGTTTGCCTCTCGGTTCCTCATCCACCGCTCCCGTTGTTCTTCCTCGGTGGTGTGTGGTGGTCCGTGGCTGCGATTAAAGTGCATCATGCACTTAACACTTGGATTATGGGAGCGCTTCCGCGCGGGTGGCCTGCTCACCCCCATCTTCCGTTGGCCTCTTTGATACCCCCTGGTGTCGGTTACTCCTCCTTGGTGGTGGCAGATCTGTTCCTGGTGGTGTTGTCGGTATGCTATGTGTGGCTGCTCCTGTGTTCTAGATCTAGGGTTTCTTTGTTTAATATTTTATGGGTTTCTGCTGTTTATTTGCTTTTCTATCCTTGGGCCTGTTTTATTTGTTGGTATTGGGCTGCATTGGAAATGAGTTTCCTCAATTTGTAATGCTTTCCACTATTAATGAATAGTATTCCCTGACCAAAAAAAAAAGAAGATATCACTCATACCTCTATGTTAAGCCTCCACTTATGATATTCAAATTAGTCTAGCTTTTTCATCCGGATTCATTTCAACTCCAATTCGAATTTGATTTGAAACAAAATTCTTGAAGTCTTGAGCTCTACACAAATAAATCAAATATAAAGTCACAAAAACTCTTGTACCTAATTAGATAATTAAACTCAAATACAACCATTTGCACTTGCAGCAGACAAATCCCCCAGGCAAAGCAATTCTTTAGACGACTGTCTTTCTTGGGGTCCAGTAGGAGCACGTCCTGTTTACTATCTGGCTACCACACCACACCTTTATTAGTTTGAATTAGTCCTGGCTTCCTTTAGGCTCTACAATCCAAAAACATTAGAAAAATAAGTCTTTCAGCAAAGACCAGACCAATTTCATCACTTAAGATTGATAAAAAGCAGCAAGATTGATGACAAACCAGCCGTTTGAATGATCTACTTTGAGAAGCATTCTTTGCATTCTCCATACCAGGCTTAGCACGATCAAGAGCCTGAGAAAACAAACAAGTTAAAATATAAAGATATTCATCTCAAAGCTATTGTTCACAGTACAACCCAGGTAAATATAAAGAGACCAGGATAAGCATGCTGCATCTTGTCAACTCACAGTTTCATGTCATGGTTCATGAAAACTTTTTAAAATCTCAAGTTAATCATGCATTTGGGGACTAACAATAGTCCTCGTTTAATTTTCTTCTTTTTGTAATACGTCCTTTATCCTTTTCTGTTTTTCTTCATTTTTCGAAATGTTATACAATTAAATCCAACAAAATTATAATCAATGAAGCAAAAAAGTATAATTATGCATTGCACTTCAACAGTAACCAGGGTGAAACTAATCTAGCTGCACTCTCATATACCAAAATAAATGCAAACTAAGCTCAGACTCAAGCCATAAAGAAAAAGGACCAACAGACAGCATCCTCACATTTTGAGGTTTGTCTCCAAAGAGTTCACTCATATATCACATACAACAGTTTGTCTGCCCACTATATCAACACTATGGAAACTTCCTTACTTATGTCCTGACACCCAAATTTCTAAAGGTGGGTGGTTGAACATTCTTCTCTATTCATTCGCATAATTCAGAGGAATGACCTCCCATAGATGCTATTCATTTCACACGGGATTCATTGCAAACTGGGGATCAAACCTAAGTAAAAGAAAAATTACATTCAATATCTTTGCTTTTGATAGAAAATGCCGACCACTCAGACAAAGTTTACCCACTCACTAACTATGACTGTATTAGATCAAGATAACAAAAATTTTAATCAACGCATCATACTGGGAGAGGGAGTGAGGACAGGAGGGGAGATGGAAAAATATATTCACGTTTTGTTTTAGTTCCTTTTTCAAGCAAATAAAGAGAGAAGGGGGGACGGGGGGGGTGTGTTCATATAGAACCTCTGAAGATATTATCAAGCAGCTACAGAAAATGAGATTAAGTAGCTTTAAGGGAGAGGAAAAAAAAAAGGAAAAGGGAAATGCTACCTCAATCAAAGATTCCACGCGACGCCGCATCCTTGTATGCATGAAACCCTCAGAACACTGTGGAAGAATATGCACAAAAGATACTGAGATCAAACATATCAAATGAAGAAACGGAAATATAGTAAATCATTAAAGACATGACATGCTGCCATGCTGTGATTACAGTCAGTAAGGTACACACAGACAAAACAAAACAAAATTGTGCGGGACAACTACTAGCAGCATGGAAAAGATAGGTCCAGCATTACTTGTACATGAAGCTCGGAAAAATTCAACAAGTTTCTGTAATTAAGCGTAAATTAAACAAAGAAAAAAAAAATATTTGACTCCCCACACATAAGATGTAACTTTCTGCAATGCCTATATCATACCATGTCCATTCATCAATACAAAGTAATATGACATACAATTTCTTTCTGAAAAGAAAAGAGAATAATATTCAGCAAAATAAATTAGTAAATGTAAATTCTAATTACTAACTCGACCTTAACCCACTTGCACTGTAGTAATATTATACTTTAATAACATTCTGTAGCATGTTGTATTATAAATATTAGAAGTAGGTTCTATATTTTATAAATTTTTGTGTTAGAAAATAAAGAAGTTGAGGACAAAAGATGGAATAATAAGCTCAGGTTAAAAGATCACACCTTAACATGATAACTAACATAAGCATGAAAAGTTGATAAACTGCAAACTGTTCGATCCAGTTTCTTGCCTTCCACGTGACGAGGGAAAATAACTGCATCATTACAGTACAAATTGTTACAGTGAAAAAATATAGATAAACTTCTTATTTCTCTGACATTACCAAAAGTGACAAATCCTGCATTGGCAGTCCTTTAGTTCTAAAGGAGGGGTAGGAGACCACAAACAATGGGGGGCAGTATTAAGTCCAGCCATGCGTCTTGCTTCCACAAATTCCTAAATGGTAATAAAAACCTTCGCAATTAACAATAAGAAATCACCAAACAAAAGTAAATGGATCCAAGTCAGCATAACTTGGAGAGTAGCAGGATTCAACAAGCTAGCATTATCTAAGGTCTAAAAGCACTTATAGCCTCATCAACATATATATAATAGCCCATTACAATCTCTTCCCCAATAAGAAATTCATCTTTGCAATTTAAGATCATATACTTATTATACCTGCAGGAAGGAAGTTGCAAGAACAATATCAATAGAGTCCTTGAATCTCATAGGGAATATTATCGTCACTTTCTCTGCCTGCAAAAATTTTTGAAAATTTCACCAACAAACTTTCAACTGCTTTCCTTCTAATTAGCTAAACTAGAGAATACAAAAGATAAAGAGCAATGTGATAACTTGATGACCTTAATCTGTAATTTTACCTGAGGAATAAGGAAAAAGGACTCGTTTGGCCGATGCACAAGAGCAACAAGCCTATCAGTCTTGGAAGCAACAGTCCTTGAAGTAAGCTTCTTCAGAATTCCTCTCAATGGAGCGCCTAGCACCACTTCTCTTACAGATGCAATCTTTACCAAAAGAGCATGTTTGTACTCTACACAAGAATAGCATTTAAATAACAAAGTCACAAAAGGAAAAATTGGAAAATTAGCCAAAAAGTAAATACATAAATTGGAACGTAGTCAAAAAAAGGGATGCCCACAAGAGGATAATCTAAACTCGGCAGGCTTTATAGTGTTGAATCAAGCAATCCAAGAAGATAAAGTTGTCCGGAGACAACCCAATATTGTATATCAAGCTAAAAGTATACTAACACAAGAAAACTCCCAAACAATACAAGAAAATCTCAATATAACATCACACAAAGAATCTTATCATTGTCCCTAGTAGGCCCATATACTTAACAAGCTAGCAAATTTTCATAGCATTGACTGGCTTTAACAAGATCCTAAACGTTCTGAGCACATATCCATGGCAATGGCAAGCTTATAATGACCTTAGAAAAGGAACTCGTTGAACCTTCATCTGGAGGGAGTTTAGAGAGATTGAGCTTCAATGTGAGATTAAACCCATCTCTTGGGGGGTCAAGAATTTGAACAACCGCACCATATGCAGCCTTTATAGCCTCTATAGCTCCAGACGGAAGCCCACCCAAGAACACGGTTTCTTGAGGTGGAGTGGGCAACGATACAGAAAGTAACAAGATATGTGGGTTCTTCATCGTCACCTGCATAATTTCAGCCATTCAATAACCCATTACAACGGTTCAAAATCCTTAATTGAATTCTGGGTAATCACCTGAATATGGTACCGAACGTCATCGAACTCGGCCCAGTGGTAGTCCGCCTCCACTGCTTTTTCGATGCTGCACAATAAGCAAAAACCAACATGGTAAGGAACCATGAGAGTGGAAGAAGGAAGAAGAAGAATTTAATCGTTGAATGGGAAAAGAAACGAACTTTTGGAGGCGATTGAGCAAGTTGTCAAGGAGAAATCTTGAATGGGACTGCAAGAGAATCATTGAAATGAAATGGGCTTGCGGATTTGAGTGTGTTTGAGGTGTGTGTGGCTTCTGCTGCTCAGTCTCCGTGCGTCGGTGAGAGCTCAGAAATGCACAATAGCTGAGAATGGAATGGATCTACAGTTGAGAATTTGAGATGGCGTGTCACTCCAGGAGTTCCAACAAGACCAGAGACCACAATGTCGCTTTTCGCTTTCTTTTACCTCCCTTTTTTTTTTCTTTTTTCTTTTTTTTTCTGTTTTTGCTTTTACTGCCTTTTTTATTGCTATTTGCTCCTCGGATTCCGGATGGTTCCAACTTGGGTACCCTAGTTCTTTCTATATTTCAAATTTCAACCCCCTCTTTCCCGTTTAAGTCTATTTAAAATATAATTTCTTTTTAGAAATATGTTACCGAATTTTGTGTTTTTTAAAATAGAAATTTACATGGAAAGAAAAAGAAAATAAGAAATTATAATGAAAACAAGATTGAGAGTAAATTAAATTTAAAAAAATCTACATAGTGGTAAATCCATGAATTTTTCGTTTTCAAGTCCACACCATTTTGCTCGGTTTCCTTTGGCTCCCTACCTAGCCTTTTATCAAACAACTCATTTCAATTGCATTTACTATTTCTACTAAATTTGTATACCACCTAAGTTTCAAGTCTCTTATAAAAAAAATTTAAAAAAATTAAGAATCATTCCATTTCAATTTGAAAATGCAAATATTAATATTTTCTCTGTTTAAGAACCAATTAATAATATTAATAATGAATTTAATTGGACGTTTTGTATCTAGTTTACTTGACATTTTATGTGAATTTTTAATATTTTAACTTGTACTTACATATAAATTTTCCTTTTAATGTATTATATTTGATGAAAAGGGGACTGTATTTCCTAAATTTTTATAAGGGTTGAGGGAAAATTCGAGTGAAACATTAGGCGTTTCATCACAAAAGTAATAAAATTGCACGTTTAACCAAAAAATTTGCTATATATATAGATATAAGAGAAAACAGAACGGAAAATTTGGTTTTGGAGAGGTAAACGAGCGAACAACAATGGAGGGTAGGCGAGTGAGAAGGTTCAGTATGGGAAGAGCAAGAGGACAACACCCACAAACTCAGACCCATCACAGTCTTCTACCCATTCACTCCCGTTCAAACCCATCATCTCCTCCTCGTCTTTCAACCACCATCTCTTGTTGCTACTGCGATTTCAAGTTCTGGGCTTTCAACCAACCCCTCTTCCATTTCGGGAGAGGCCACTCCCAAATTCTCAGGGCATGGTTCTCCATTGGGGTCGGCTTTGGCCTAACCCTGCTCTTCTCCATTTCTCTCATCCTCATCTGGGAACTCGGCAGAGCTCTCAATCTCTTCCATGGAAGCTTCTTCATTAACTTGTTCTCTAGATTTTTATCCTCCTTCAGCACCTCAATCGCCGACGTTGCCTGTATCTTCATTGCCACAATGGTTTCAGTTTCTGTTCATGAACTGGGTCATGCTCTCGCTGCTGCAAGGTCTCTCCTTTTTGCTTCTTTCTTACCCTTTATGCATTAGCTACTTGCGTTTTTGTTTTTGATTATTGTGAAGCGAAACGTAGGCTTGATTGAAAGCAGTGAGTGCGTGCAAATGGAGTATGTTGCCGTGTTTGTTGCGTTTCTGTTTCCTGGTGCTCTGGTAGCTTTCGATTCTGAGTCTCTGCAACCATTGTCTTGTTTTGCTGCCCTTCGGATTTATTGTGCTGGAATTTGGCACAATGCAGTGGTAAGCTTACGTGTGTTTTCGTTATTTATGTATTGATGGGGTTAACGTATTTGCAAAAGCTAATGCTAATTAGCCTTCGAATTTCATTCACCTCCAGTGCTGTGCAGTTTGTGGGCTGGCATTACTTCTCCTGCCCTTCATCTTGTTTCCATTCTACATACATGGTGAAAGTCCCATGGTAATTCACTCACCACAACCATTGAATTGTCTCATTGTTTTCTGTATTTTACTTGCCAGTATCAGTATGGTCAAATGAACAATATTTTGATCACCGTTTTTATTTTGATATGTTATATTTGTCTGGAAATAGGTTCTGGGTGTACCATCTACGTCACCTTTGTCCAGTTACTTGTCTCCTGGCGATGTAATTGTGTCAGTTGATGGTGTGCCCATCCATAATGTCCAGGAATGGATGGAGATGACAGCTCTGATAAATGAATTGGCACTTAGAGGTAGAAACCATTCCCTAGATGTCCCAGGCTTTGGAATCAATAGAATAAAGGGGTACTGTGTGCCTAATTCTATGATGGAGGAAAGTAAGCAGATTGTTATAGGAGATAACCAGTCTTCTTGTCCTGATGATCTTACTGCATTTACACCTCTTCCCTGTGATCATACAAGCATATTAGATCATAATCATCCAAGCAGAATTGAGAAAACCCACTGCTTGAATGCAAAGAATGTTGTCAAGCTTAATAAATGTGGTGAAGGATGGGCGGCAATAACCAATGGCAGCAACTGCATATGTTCACAGGTTGGTATCTGGATGTTTGTAAGAAATGCAATTTTAGAAATTTACTTGTTTCACTGCAAATAAATACAAGTTTGTTAATGTCTACAGGAGGAGTCCTGCTTAAGTCCAGTTCAAATTCCGGGCTTAATATGGGTTGAGATCACCTATTCAAGGCCCTATTCTCTGGAATGCTTGCGAGTTAGAAGAAAATCTTTTGTGGGTCCAAGAATTTCTGATTCCATGGAGTCTAACTGTGGTGGGACTTTTGTCTTTGTTGGTGATGTTGTCTCCATGGCACGATCAGTTAAGTTAACTGCATATCAACCTCGCTGGGCATTTCCATTGGGTACATATCTTCCAAATGTACTAGAAAGGATTTTGATATGCACATTCCAAGTCTCTCTAACACTAGCTCTTCTCAACAGTTTGCCGGTAAGTTTTTTATTTATTAATCTTAATTTCTACCATTGTCTTAATAAGGTTTTAAGATTTGTCAAGCCTATGTGATCAGTGCCCTGCATGTTGGCCAATGGATATAAAAATTGCATGTCCATGCGTGCATACGGTATGGCCTGCAGAGAGATTATTTGAGGAAGGTTTTGTAGGGCCTCAGAACCAGTCAGTTGTCAAATGCTTATATATTAACCACAAATTCCACATTCTCCTAAGTTAGTCATAGATTTGAGATCAAAATCCATTCAGGATGAGTTGTGCTAAGCCTGACCCAATGTATGAGCCTGAAAGGGGTGTCTTTTTTATCGTTTTAGTTATGTACTTCAACTAAGGGTTAGCTCCTGAGTTGATCATCAAAGTGCTGCTATTCAGCCCAACGGTCTTCAGATATAATGAGAGTACATGCTCGCCCAAACTCAGTCTGGAGGCTGTAGTTCAAAATTGCAATCATGCAATTCTGAACTTTTGGCCTGATTTCTTTCTTTGTGGGCTTAGCAGGGCTAAGCCAGTTGAAGACTAAAGATTAGTTCTGCTGGCCCCTTGATAAGGTGTGAGATGCTTTAGTATGCCTGTCATGTTCATTCAGCTCGGTCCCTTTAAGTATGTGCAACTCAGGAGTGAATTAATGTTGACATAGAGTCTATTCAACTAACACCATTTATACTGTGCCTGATCAGCAAATAAAAAATGATAAGATTCATGCAATTCTTTTTGCTCAAATGATATTAATTAGGTGTACTTTCTGGATGGAGTGCTGTGCCCAAGGAAGAGAAGGAAAGTTCTTCAAGTTTGCCTTTTATGGGGGACACTCATTTCCATCCTCGCCTTGTTCAGGATCATGTTATATACTTTGTAAGCGAAAGGTAAACAGAGTTATTTTTAGATTTTTTAATTGAAAATATGACATAGCTTTACTTTTGCTCGTTTTATATCATATAATGCTGCTTCAAGATATTTATTGTAAAATTTGATAGAAATACTTAGTTTACAAGTAGAAGTTTACAAATTTATGCTCTTTCATCTGAGGCTCCTCGGGATTTGAAACAAATATTAGATTCTTTCAAGGACTTTTCTAATGGATGCTGCAGTGGGCTCGCAATTCTGATTGGGTCAGTGTCATATGTCATATGCATTCTTGTGCTAACACATTTTTGGGGGGACTTGCACTAAGTATACTTCAGCTTTGAATGTAATGTTAGCATCAACTTCTCCTGGTTCTTAGTAGGTTTACAATCAATACATGTCAGGAAGGCCACCCTTGTATGAACATTGGGCTACATTGTGTCTTCCGTTTCTCACTTTTATTTATCTTTCTTATGCAGTGACCTTTGCTCCTAGACAAAGCAGCCTCACTACGAAGCTCACTGTTTAGCAGGTATTGTGCATTATTGTTGTACAACGTAAAACACTTTTTATCCGACATCACTCGCTCTTTAGAGTCATTAGCTAGAAAGCAGTGGTATTACAGCTGAGCTTCAGAATATGAGAAGCAGTGTTATCGAAGCTGACCTTGCAGTATGAATTGGGAGGAGCGTCAAACCATCAGCTGCCTCGGTATTCCACTACCAGAAACTATAGTTACATAACCTAAGTTTAACCTTGTTGACATAGAAATCCATAAATTATCTAGTGTAAAAGATAGGGGTACTCAGAGAATTTAACTTGTTTAACCTCCTTGTGGGTTCCTCCATAGAATGAGAAATTCTTGTACTGTTTCCATTTTATCTGGGAACAACCCAGTTTATAGCTTACGTTCAATATGCGTTCACAGATTTTGTAAAACAAAGTATTGAGCTTTTTTTTCTTTCTGGAACGTCTTCCTCCACATTCTGGTTTCAATTTCAATCCCCTGACGCACAAACCTCAAATTGGCTGGAAAGCCCAACTTTATTCCATGCATGGCTTCTGTTTCTGTTTCATCAAGGGCCTTCTAAAGGGTTGGATTGGGCCATTTCTGAAATGATTTGGGCTTTTGATGACAAGTGGGATGTGCTCAAACAGATTTCTTGATTTGGGCAAGTATTTTCTTTTAAAACTTTTTTCTTATATTTCTTTTTGTATGATTTTTTTGTAGCATGCATGGGTTAGGTAAGAAGATTTCAATATTGTACATTCAAGACCATCATATTGCTTCATATCATGATGTTATTCATCAAAACAGAAAAAAGTAAGAGAAAATATTAGACCTCTAACCAATTCCCTTTTGGGAAAAATAAAATATAAAGGCCCAAAACCAATCCCACATACTGGTATTTGGTTTCAGCCCTCCAATCCATATGCAAGTACGGTACAGGAAGGTGCTGGGAAAAGAGGTAAAAGTATGCACCAGTACATGGTGGAAGAAGTCTTTTGGAAGATACAAAAAAAGTTGTCAAATATTTAAAATATTTCATAAAAAGATGTAGAGATTGTAGGGCCCTCTGAGGCATATGTGTTTGTTGTTGCTAGCCTCAAACTTGGAAACAATCAAAAGTAGAAATGGTCAAAAACCCCACAAGAGCATGAAGCAGCAGCAGTAGGCCACCAATCTGGGCTGGAAGACACAGCATCACACCACTTTCCTTGCACTTCAATCTTCAACTAAAATATAAAATAATAAATATAGAAAAACAGGGATTAAAATAAACAAACCAAACACAAAACAACATCTGGATTCCTTCTAAGGGTGCTGCGTGCTTTTACCCTATTGGGCTCCTTTCGTCTCATGCCATCTTTCTTCTCTGCAAAAAATATATTTATAAGTTTCTTTTGCTCTCTTCATACGGCCTAAGACTCTACCTACCTGCCCACTTGAGCATTTTGGGGTCACCATCAACTTGATTAACATAGGCATGCATTCTGGATAAGGCTTTTTCATTTGCTGCACTCATCTGTCCCTCATTACATGTGAAGGGTTTTCAAAAGGCTTGCTTCCCCCCATCATTTTAGACGTTGAAAAATCACCTAATCTTAACTGCCAACTTTATGGTTTTTGTAATTACTTTACTGGTTTTTCATTTCTTTTCTTTTCTTTAAGTCTTTTTTATGCATATATTTCATGCACCCAACAGAAGCCAGATGGAATCCGAGGGCCTACTGTTTGGTAACAAATGGTAATTGCTGTGTGGTCCAGTTTATCATGTAGACCTCCCCTTGAGGTTAATTAATTCACTCACTTTTACTTATTTTATAAATTACAACGTGGCGGTTTACGCAATATATACTATGTTAATTAAATACGTAACTTGAAAGTTAATTTATAAAAGGAAATATTCATTTTTCTTGTGAGACAATCAAACATGTTAGTGTTGTCAAATTATCAACTTCATAACCTTATTCAGCAACGTGTAAATTGAACAAACAAGTTAAAAATCTAATAATTCTAAAACGTTTTAAGTTACTGAGTTGTTTCATCACATCGTGAATCACAATAAGAACACGGACTAACAATGTATATCAAACTTGATTACAAATAAATGATGATTGAGGCATCAATTACGGGTTTACAAGATGGACAAATCAAAAGCATCCTTAAATATTAAAAAAAATGCATGTCCGGACTCAGTTGGCGGGAAGGGTTTGCGTTTGCTTTTATCATGACATGGTTTGGCTCTTTATTAACTTCCATAACTACCGTAACTTTCCCATCACCCATCACATGCACTGCCTTTATTTGGACTCTTGAGATTTGACCCTTCTCTCTCAAATGTCTCTCACAAGCCCTACCCACGACACAATCAATGAAATAATATGTTGGAAACATCTTAGGTAAGGTGGAGCAGAGGCCCAAATCTCTAATTTCAAAAATTATTCTATGTATATAAGTCATTATCGGTTTAGGTGCTTACCTCTATTTTACCTAATCGCCTTTTTTTTTTTTGGATAAATATCATGAGGTGTCCCCACATTCAAAAGGAATGATTAATCCTCGTTCAGGGTTCAGTTTGCTCATGGCCACAAAGTGCTTCAAATAATTGAGACACCATGTAGCTCGCCAACTGAAAGTGATAGTTTACAAACCACACCACACATTATGGTTATCTACTCGCATTTTTTTAATGTGTTTTCACTGCTTAATTTATTCAATAAAGTACTGAATTAAAAATAAATAAATCTTCAATGAGGGTCTTGCTCACCTGAACGCCAAAAATAGGCGCCGTTGAGTGTCTATTATCTCTCAACCATTGATTTGAAGTGGTTCGATTTAATCCAACAACTTCTAGAGACAACTCCATATGAAATTATTTATAAATTCGCTTGTCCATCCTTATAATTTGAGGGAATCTCAATCTCTCCCACAAATATATGCACGGAGGTTATAATATCAGTATCCATGAAATCACTAGTTCTTTTTTTTCTTTTTTTTCGTCTGAGAAATGACTAGTATTATTTAATCAAAGGTTTTGGTGAATCATTGCCACGTACGTTGTCGGCATATTACCCATTTGACTAGGCAGAAGATTGGACACTCACATGGCCCTTCAGAGGGAGCTGAAAATACACCCCGATCACCATCATTCATCACCTTCCTTTTGGAACAGTTCTATGACTCTCTCTCTCTCTCTCTCTCATGTGTTCCTCCATGTTAATAAATAAATAACAAGAATCATATCCTTTATTTTGGTTTCAAAATCACAATTAAAAGTAGGGTTCCAGGATTCTCCCCAACTACTCAATTGATTTGAAAATGGGGAGGGCATATATCATTCTTGGTCTTCATCATCATTTTCCACTTCCCCCTCTACGTAATTTTGCTTCTTAAATTCCCTATTATCCATCATAGCATGGACCAGACAAGCCATAGTACTACTCACTCCACAACAATTTCATATACATATATTTATATATCATATAAAAGCCTTCTTTATCTCACCGTTTGACGTATGTATTTTATATTCTTATTTTGACCCGTAACGTCAGATTAAGAGACAAACAGTATAACATATCAGATATTTTGGTACATATATACATTCTTTTGATTACCTTGAATTACGTGGTACTTAAAGAAACATCAGTTTCATTTCCCTAATTAATTAAGATTATCTAACAAGCGCCTTCCAACATGACAATTATAGTAAAAAGAAACTCTGCTCGGAAACAAGTTGTCTGCCATCACGTGAACTTATACAATACATATCACAAGAAAAGAAACTAGCTCATGTGAGCTTTTTCTGTCAAGAACAATGTTTCTCACATAACAAACAAAAAATAAGATATACAATTTGCATACAATCTAATATTTACATATAATCATTGAATTATTATTCCATCGACATTAACAAACGCAACAGATGTATTTTTGTGCAACCTTTACCTAAATGTGTCGTTGAAAGAACCGTGAACTCTAGAAAGACCAAATTTCTAGTAGCTAGGCTTTTTCATCAGCCTAGCTCTAGCTACTCATGCTCATTTAAATTCAGTTAATTCAGTTAATTCGGACGTCCGCATCGGAGAAGAATTATATTAGTCAATATTCAGGCTCTATACGTACGGTCCCCTTTTATTTTTATTTTTATTTTTTGCTGTATGTTTTTTCCAACTTGTGTGGTGTGGATGAAAAGTGAAAAAGGGTAGGAGCAGAGATTGATCATTCAAACTTGTGACTTCTGAGAGACTGAGGGATCGAAAAATAATCAGAAATAAGGTACATATGGGGTATCAATAGTATCACCACCACCCACATGGCTTTGCCCTACAGAAGGCATAAAATCTTCAACTGTGAGGTAAGGGTTAGGTGCGGTTGTTCAAAAGTCCAATTCCTCCATGACTATATACATAGATATATATATATATATATATCACTTTATTATACAAATACAAAGCATCTGAAAGCTTAATTAGATTATAATTGCAAACGTGGTGAGAGCGAGACTGATGATGAGACTGAATAAAGTGATCAAGGAGGGGTCAAAGCACGGCGTTGATCATTAAGATCATGATCATTTGGTTCAAAGCACGCGCATGCAGCAGTCTACAATGATCCTTAATCTGCGTTGTTGCTGACAAAGCACCTTACCCTCTCGAAGAAACAGAGAAAGAAAGAGAGAGAGATAAAAAATAAATAAAAAACAGATGGCTGGTTTTTATTTTAATTTGTCCATAAATTTCAACATTATTTATATATAAATTTTTAAAAAATGCAAGATAATATATCTGCATGTTTTTTAGCTTCAGTGGTCTGGTCTCTTGGAGTTACATGTTCAACTTGTTTGATTTTAATTTCAAACCCCTTTTGGTTTTGGAGATCTTTACGTATCTAATGAGAGCCAGTATGTTCTAAATCGATCATGGCCCACAGGTTGGAAAGGGCGTGGAGCAAGAAGAAAACTATGGTTGAATTTATATATTTGCTAATTATGATGTTTAATTTGTTTTTTTTTCAAAGAAAACCTCGATGGTACGAGGAAAATTTTATTAAACAACCACAGATGAAATAAAGGGGACATAAAACCAAACCGTTATCATAGGCATCACAAAACAACTAATCAAACATAATATCAAGTGGTTCTTGAAACCATAGTCAATCCTATCACTATTACATACCGCTAAAAGCGGTGTGCAACCTCATTAGCTTAACTTAGATTAAACGTGAATTAATTTCTACTTAGACACTTGTCTTGCGTTGCTGCAGGCAGCAGTATCCAAATTTTCTGGTTAATCCCCTCATGTCAATTAATGCCGATGTCAATGCTTTCACATATCCTCTTTTTGTCGTGTTCACTTGTTTTTCATGATCCAAATCAAAGAGACATGTTTCAAGTACGTAAATACAAGAAACATATTGATCCATCTGTCCATCTTTCATTCGTTGAAGCCTTGACTAAAAGGGAATATTCTCTGTGACACAAATTATATCATGACAGTTCA